TAAACAACGTTAATAATATTATCATTCCAGTGGGGTTCCAGGGAAGCTGAATCATATTCCAAATTTGGAACACGCTTTGTTTGTTGATGTTTGTGTGTTTATTTTTGAGGGATTTTAACCGTAATGGTCAATCGTTCCTTCTTTGTATGTAGATGAGCCCCGCAATCGTTGGTTAAGAATTGTTGACCGAGGTCAACATCCATGGACGTGGTTATTTAATATGCGAACACCTTCTTCTTCTTATATTGGCGGCTACGTCCCAAATGAAACTTTGCGCCCGCTCTCAATTATTGTTATTGGATAGCTTTCTAACCTGCCCTAGTGTGGCTGTATAACGGTACTGTTTCCCCAGAGAAGCTCAGAAAATTTTCATCCTGAAAAATGCCTTTAACGGACCAAACCGAAACCATCGCCTCCAGCGTGGTCTTTCTATAAAACTGATATGAGCTAAGGAAGGCGCCAAACAAGCGAACGTATTAAAATCAAAATTAATCAAGCATGAAGAAAGAATGTAAACAAAGTCTTCCCTCCAGGCAACCGGGCAAACAACGTGACGGGAATCGAAATTATCTTCCATGTTTAAGAACAAATGCTTCCTTTGTCACGTGCTTTCAACGATCGTCAATGGTTATTTGTGCAATGTGAACTCTGTAAAAAGTGCTAGTGGGGTTGATGAAAGTTTGAAGGTTAGTGATGATAAATTGTATAGTACACACTTAGAAAAATTCATGTAAATTTAGGTGCTCTGAGAGTGACATATACGAGCGTAAATTTTGACATAAATTTAAGTCATAACAGACGCGAAATATAGCGCAATCAAACGTACTTTTCGTCGAACAACGAACCTTTCAGTCTCGGAGCACTTAATATTACATAACATGTTTGTTTCCGTCTCATCTTTTATGTCAAAGATGGATTCCGTCATGTGTAACATTAGTTATTTCTAAGTGTGTATGATACAATACACTCACTTCTACGCCAGTGGTTCATAATTTAAAACAGAATATCATGGTCCAAACTTTGATAAATATGACTGAGTTACTTTTATTTTTTGAAAAATTTCAACTCGAGTAAGGTATATTTTGATTTTGAACTCATCTTTTATCTACAGTGGACCCCGTTAATCTGAACGGTACTTCGTGCATATTAACCGAATTAATTTTTAATTTGAACTGCCAGTAAGCCTACGAATATAAAAAGCGAGCTTCTTTCTGGCTTTGTTTTGATTCTGCGTTCCGTTTCGCATCGTTCCAGTTCGGTTTTGTCCATTCCATGTGCTAAATAACGATTGAGCGATTTTAAAATTGATTTGCATGGCATGCAGATTAGCAGTGTTCCAACTTAAAAGTATTCAGATTAAAAACGGTCAGATTATCGGTGGTCCCCGATATTATTTATTATCGAATGAAAATGAATTATATTTGAATAGGATTCAATCATGATTCCTTCTGAAAACAATTTTGTTTACGTTTCACTCCTACCATCATCGTGGGTCACATACAATTATGTTGTTATTGGGTCTAGGAAAATCTGGTTAAATCTACTTTATGTCACTAATGCTTATAGCAATATTGACTGTATTTTAAGATTAAAGGATCATCGAAACCCTACTGATTTTGCTGTCTTAGAAATTCTCGATCGAGTGGTATTCCTAGGGGAAAATAGTTTTTGCAATATTCATGAAATGTCCCCTAAACCTTGGAAAAATACTCTTGCTGCGTAGCTACTCAGATTTACTGTCCTGTCCGTGTTTTTTTAGTCATAGGAGCGGAGCGAAGCGTCTAGAATAAGTTTCTAAAAAAAGCTTCTGTTGCGCAGTAAAAGAGATGTTTTCCATAGTAAAGGAGCGTTTCATCGTATTAATGCTGCTTTTCAACAGTGGCAGTATGTCTAGTCCTACATTTGCAAAATGACTTCTCGAATTTACAAACTGTAGAACGATGCCAAGCACTTTATAAAGGGCGAACACGAAATTATTGCGACACATTCAACAGGGCATAACTTTTTTACCATTGGGTAAAAATAAACCAAATTTTGCACACTTTCTCATTGATGTGTATTGTGTACATGCTGTCAAACTCGAAGTCGTGTTTTTCGATTCAACGAAAATGGAGGTGAACCAACGCAAGTTGAGAGAACAAATTCTTTCCAAACACCTGGAATTTCCTGACCTGTCGCACCGGCAGTTGGGAAAAATGTTGAACATTCACCATTCAACCGTCTCCAGAGTGTTGAAGCGGTTCCAGGAGCGGTTGACGTTGGACCACGGCAAAGGAGCTGGAAGAAAACCGGGACTGGAGAACAAAAAGACGGAGGGAAAGGTGAAGCGGATGATTAAAGCAAATCTCAACGTCTCAAGCCGTGATTTGGCTAAAAAGATCGGCATGTCGCAGAGCTACGTCCAGAATGCAAAGAAGAGAGCTGGACTACATACATACTTCCCAAACCGCGATGAGCGGCAACAATCGACGGCTAAAACTCGGGCACGGAAGCTCTACGAGAAGATGCTGACAAAATATGGCTGCTGTGTGATGGACGACAAAACGTATATAAAAGCAGATTTTAAGCAAATTCCGGGGTTGGAGTTTTTCACCGGCAAGAGCAAGTTCGATGTGGACGACAAATTTAAGAAGAAGAAAATGTCGAAGTTCGCCTCCAAATATCTCATTTGGCAGGCCATCTGCTCTTGCGGACTGAGGAGTGAGCCTTTCGTGACAAAGGGCACAGTAAATGGCGAGATCTACAAATCTGAGTGCCTCGAGAAGCGCTCCGCTATTTTGGCCAGATTTGGCATCATGCCACTATTCTAAAAGTGTCCTGGAGTGGTATGAGGCCAATTCTGTCCATTTTGTTCCAAAGGACATGAATCCGCCAAACTGTCCGGAGCTGCGCCCGGTGGAGCAGTACTGGGCAATAATGAAGCGGGAACTTCGGAAGAGCAAGACAGTCAAAGACGAGAAGGACATGTTAAGAAAATGGAAAAAAAAACTGAGAAACTGGTACCGGATGACACTGTAAAGACTTTGATGGAGGGCATCAAGCGAAAATGCGTTCAATTTTACACTCAAGGCTCCATCGATTAACTTTTCTTTTGATTTTTGAAGTAAATATATGCATAAAACTACCCTAAAATTTTGGTTTGAGTCTAAACATTATAAGAAAATTGGCATGACATTTTCGGTGTCGCAATAATTTCGTGTTCGCCCTTTAGGAGGTATAACCAACGATAAACTATTACATACTCGTGATTTGTTTCAGTTACCGTGAGGACGTCTTTTGTAATAAGATTTTCAAGTTGTGATTAATGATCCATATATTAGACATTTACGTTGGATGTCAAAATGACGAATTGTGATCCGACGCGGGTTTATCAGGCTTTTTAATGGCTATCACCCTCACTCGTCTCCAATCGTCGGGAACAATATTGAGCTCCAAGAACTGATTGTACAAGTTCAACATGCGCCTCTTAGCGACTTGTTGAACTTGATTCTATCAGATCCCGGGGCAGAATTGCCACACGAAAGTAGAGCGAGTGAAAGTTCGACCATTGAAAAAGGCTGACTGATTTCGTCTACCGAATTCGCGGTTTCGCGAGGAATCAATGCGACGGCACAGAATCCGGATTCCGGACACACTTTTCGCGCGAATTTAAGAATCGATCGATCCGAGTATTCCTCGCTTTCGTTATTAGTAGACCGGTTACGCATTCTTCGCGCCGTACTCCAAATCGTATTCATAGACGTTTCGCGCGACAATCCGTCTACAAACAGCCGCCAGTAACCCCGTTTTTTGGCCTTGATGAGGCTCTTGAGTTCGCGTTCAAGAGATGTGTATGCGTCGAAATGCTCGCGTGTTCCGCGTTTCCGAAAACGTTTAAACGCGTCGGACTTTTAACGGTAAACCTCCGTGCATTGTTGATCCCACAAGAGCGGTCGTGTTTGAGCTTGAAGTGCGCTGTCGACGATGAGATTAGAGAGGAAATTATATTCCTCCAACGGCGGAAGCTCTTCCACTGACGATACTGTATCGCCTAGCGCGGATTGGAACTTAGTCCAATCGATGTTACGTGTTAGATCATACGCGACGTTAACGGATTCTGACGAGTTGAACCCACTGGCAATCGAAATTTTGATCGGCAGATGATCACTACCGTGCGGATCCTGGATTACATGTCAAGTGCAATCCAACGATAGTGAATTGGAGCGAAAGGTGAGGTCTAATCTGCTACCATTCGAGGATGGACCACCCAAACGTGTTACTTCTCCATTGTTAGTTATCATCGTACAGCTCCCCCCAGCCTGTACCGTGGGAGCTATAATCTTTCATGATCAACAATGGAGCGGGAAGTACCGAACATATGTCGAAAAGTTGTTTGCGATTAACAGAGACTCTAGGAGCAATTATGAGATGTATAAAAGTTTATAGTACTTTTCAATAATTGGTCTTCAATACATTGAATTGGTTCTGCTTTTTGATAGATCGAAATTCTATCCTCCAAACTAAAATATAGCGACCATAGTAGACACTGGATCTCAGTTGTCAAGCATATTGAGTGAGTTCGCAGTACCCAGTGGTCAACCAGTTAGCAGTCTTTCTCTTTTGGTTTTTGTAACAGTTATGGAAAAACAGCATGCCGAGAAAAACACAGTTTATTTATAAGTAAGTTTTGGTATTTTTCAATATTTTCACAACAAAATAGTTCACTTTATGTTAATATTCAGATAGTTAATAATCGATTCCAGAAGACATCTCATTAAAAAAAAGTCACATGCGACTGTTATGCATTTATGGACAGAGTACGTACATGATAATCTGAGAGCAGTTGTTATTTTCTGAGATAAAATTATGACAAAAACACACGTTTGCGTGAATAATAACAACATAGCTCTTTACTTACATAACGACTATGTAATCAAAATCAGACGCTATATCACCAGTTCCAACCTTCCTAAGTTGTTCTAATGTGTTCTAATGTGTTCTTTTTCTTTTTCCTTTTTCAGGTACGCTACAACAAATTGTTTACTACTATGATAGTGGTAGCCACCTGTCATAAAATCGAAGCAACCAAATAGCGGTTCCTGTTACTACTGGTTACTAACTGGTATGTTTTAACTTTCGCTGTTCTAAAACTTGTTTTGCAACTATTCTATAGGCATATAGGGCTGGTGCACAGGCAGAGAACAAGTTCTAAGCCGCACTGCGATTTAATCTGATTAATATTCCATTCAAAATTTGCATCTTATTCGCAAAACACCAAAGAACGAGATAGCAAAGTATTTCGCTATGTAGAGAGAACCTGGACCTATCTGGTTTTGGCAATGACTGACAAAATAATAGCATTTTCCTGCGAACGCCTAAACCGGTTCGAGATAATCGAAACAGGAGTTCAGTTTGTGACGTCAATTTTTTAAAATCTGGTTGTAGAAAAAAATATATGCGAAAATCAACATCGGGGGTTGAGAGTGCAAATGACTTCATCGTATACAGGCTGGAAGACTATATGGGCTTTTAAATTTGTTCTTGCCTGTGTAAATGAACGGGAATAACTTTTGTTCTCCGTTTTTTTTTTAATCAATACCCTAAAATATCGCAGCATAATGGATCAACTAGATTTATAAAATTCCATAAATGCTTGAATTGTTGAAATTGAAATAATGTCAACCAATTACAGAAAAAAAAAACTGAATTTATGCACCTATAGTGGGACTTGACCCTACGTACGTATTGATTTCAATTGTCGTATCATGGATTTTGACTTTTGAAAATAACTGGAGACTATCCAAGGTGCACCCGGGACATGTCCGGATGTGATCCTGGACACTTGATATAACCACCATTGCACTTGTTTTTGCATGCTTATGTGATTTGAGGTGTCGCATGATGGGGTCTTGTACAAGTCTAAAACTGGCCACTTCCCCTGGGGTACCCGAAACATGTCAGGATGTGTCCAATATGGTCCTTTGCACTTTATATAACCACTCGTACGTTTTTGAATTCTCATGTGACTTGAAGGTTTTGGTCCATGTCTGAAATTGGCTTTTTTCCCTGGGGTACCCGGAACATATCCGGATGTGGTGAATTTCAGCCTGGATGCTCAAACAGTTAAATATTGATTGATTTGATGTGTTACATGAAGGGATTAACATAATTCAGACTCACGACCCGTATTCACTGCATAATGTTCTGGATATATGTCCGCAACCAGTTGACTAATTCCAAAAATATTCACCACATCCAAGGACCACAATACTTTTCATTTAGCTGCTGTTGCGTCCAATTAGGCTAAGTCGTTGCTGAGAAACAGGTTGCCCAAAATTGTGTAACTCTCATATACATAAACATAACAGACATTTTCTGATCTCGTCGAGTCGAATGGTATATGACACTTGGCCCTTCAGGCCTTGGATCGATAGTTGATTTTCCAAACCTTTTGTAAGAAGAAAGAAACTGCAACAATAATAATTAATTATAATTAAATAAAATTTCAAATACATTTGCTTCATTCTTGTTTATTATATATACTGAATATGTTTTCTGAATACAACTCTAACTTAGCAGACATGCATCAAATATGCTACTGGAAAATGTTTAAAAAATAAGACACACATTTTGCAAAATTTTCCTGATATTTTTAATATTAAAGAATTGCTAAAATATTACAGCTTCCCTTTTGGTACAGGCTTTCACAAACATATGTGTACATATGTTGAAGGAGCCATGGAAAAAAATATAATAAAAAATCATTTGTTTCCGAAAGAAAAAATTAAAACAGTTACATAAAATATATATTTTTGGAGCTTTGATAATGTGTTTTTTTTTGTGACGACTTACTTTGAATGGTAATTCAAAATTTATGGGATTGACAATAAATAGGTTAAGCGCTGCATATTTTTGATTCTATCATAATCTTCACATGTCTAGAATAAACAATACGGGTACAACGTAAAATTAAAAGGTTACTGGTGCGGTGTTATATGTAGGTGTTCGCTTGATAAAGTTAACTAAAAACTCAGAGTGGTGCAAACAACACTGGTGCTACTCTAAAATAAGGGAGCGCGTCCCTAAAATTTTGAAGGAGAAAGAGACAAAGGAGAGAGAGATTTCATATTTAAGAGAGAGTAGTTGGACAGCTCAGGTGCTACTTGCGAATAGCACAATCGAGTAGTTCGCGGTGTTATGACGGGAGTAGCACTTTTCAATCGAGAGAGACGTGGCTTAGAGATTTACAAGAATGACTGCATATTTTAGGCTGGGTGCATAATATTTTGACACTCATATAATATATGTTGCAGTGTCTGTAGGAAAATGTAAATTTTGATGCTTTTCCTAAAGAGAGTTTTTTTTAAGATCGATGTGTAATTTTCTTCACAAGGGGAGTTAGCTCTGGTCGACATTCCGGCGAAAAATCTAAGTCAACCCGACACCAACCTGACTTCTAGCAAACCCCAACCCGATGATGACCTGACATTGACCCGACATGAACCCACAATCGACCCGAAATTGGGTCGACATCTACCCTAAATTTGCCTCACATTGATCCGACATCGGGTTGACATAAAGGGCGAACACGAAATTATTGCGACACCGAAAATGTCATGCCAATTTTCTTATAATGTTTAGAATCAAACCAAAATTTTAGGGTAGTTTTATACATATATTTACTTCAAAAATCAAAAGAAAAGTTAATCGATGGAGCCTTGAGTGTAAAATTGAACGCATGGGTGATTCAATTGACAGTGACGATGAGGTTCGAATGAGAAAAGGGCTCTTTAAATGGTGGCACGACAGAATTATTTTTCACAGAATCGATTGAATAGTTGTATTGGTTCATCTTCAATCGAATGATATGAAAATTAACAACGCTGATGCTAGCTATCCTACAACGCTACAGTTATAGATAAAGTACACTATCGTAGAAACAAAGAGAGACAGAAAGAGACTAGAGCGGCAGCTCTATTACACAAGATGAATGAAATGTGCTGCACGACTTAAAATGCTTGCACCCGATCCCTGCCTAAGACATGAAATGTGATTATCATTGTAAAATATGAAGACAAATGAATAAATAAATAATGAGCTATAAAACAAAATACTCGTTTAAGCAAATTTATAAACTTCGTTTGAAAAACAGTCAATCAAAAACCTCGAGCCTGGTCAATGGTGGACTTTAAATTAGGTTTAATATCTTATATTGAGAAAAAAAAAAAAATGGTTTTTAAAAAGTAACAAAATCTGCAGCTAAGACTTTAAAAATTTGGGAGTCTCCAAGCTTCCAGACTTTAAATAATCTTCATGATCTTTGGTAGACGTAGAGGGTTTTGAGATCTTGAGTAAAATTTCTAAGCTATATAAATATATTTAATGGGAAAAATTGTCAAGATTCGCGGCATGGTTGAGGTTTCATGTATAAGAATTTTTTTTGAGAACCTGAGAGATATCCCAAAATTGTTTGATTTGGGAAATCGAAGTGATATATATGAAGTCCGATATCTCAATTTATTTCCTAGCAATAGAAAACTAAGGAATAGTATCCAAGACACGACCGTAGATTTGACGTAGGATTACGTGCTCGGTATCAATATTCGGTGACTGTGCTAGGGAATTTTTGGTTTATTCAATAGATAATAAAAAAAGAAGTGAAAATTGGTTGAAGGAGATTCTTGATCAAATTTTCCATTCTCGAGATATTTGCGATCAACCATATAAATTCGAGATATTGTTGCATTTTCAAAGCGTCCTGGAGAAAACCTTAACTTAATTCGAAGTGTTTCTGGTTAATTAACAAGATCCCTTCAATACTGTTACGCATTTGACCACAAACTTGTGGTTGCTGGGTACATTATGAAAAATCTTTGAGGGTGATGCGGTTGGCAGTAAGGCAAGCGAACGTTCAATAGAAAAATACTCTTAAACAACAATAATTTATGGTGATCCTGAAAATAACTGTTTTGTCGTGATGACTCTTGAGGGTAGCCTTTTTTTATAATAACATTTATTTGTAAAGGTTCAATTGCGTTTGCTTTGCGGAGCCGTAATTCAATGTATAATAGCATTATTTCTTATGACTGAAGTTAGTAGAACGGGGACCGAATACTCGCGGCTTAAAGCTATGTCCATTTAGAATCTGGAATAATAAAATCATCTGTATCTCGGTAACGGATTGACGTAAAAATAAGGTTAATACATCAATACAAAGGTAATTCACTGTACATTTAGGAAAAAAAAAATGTCAAAACAAATCATTTATCTTCGTTTCTAATGAAAATTTGCACTTTCTTCTTTATTCCTCCCATCATATCACATCGCTTCACATCTCCGGAGTCAACTTTCTTGGCACATTTGTTCCACATTTTGGTCATCTGAATCGCGTCCCGAGCCGTTTTTCCACTTTTCTTAAGCCTCCGCTTCATTATTGCTCAAAATCTCTCGATGGGCCGGAACTGCGGGCAGTTGGGTGGATTTATGTTTTTTTCGATGAAATCACGAACACTTTGGTTTTTGCTTCGCAGCTGCATATCCCTTGCCAAATCATCAGTTTTTTGGCAAATTTGTCCATAAAAGCAAACTTAAACTTCACAGGAACATCTCCTCGTGCCGTCGCCATGTAGAATTTGTGGCCAGGAAGCTGTCCGAAATCCATTTTGACGTAGGTTTCATCGTCGATGAACAGGCATCCTTGGTACTTCGTCAAAACCTGCTGGTAAAATTTCCGAGCTCAAGTTTTGGTGACGAAACTTTGCTTCAACTTGCTGGCTCGATAAGAACGACATCCTGCTCGCAAACGAATTCTTCGAACGGTACTGCGAGCAGCAGCGTATTTTTGTGCGATTACATTATCTGATAGTCCAAGGTTTGCTCTGACGGTTCTCAACACCTTCTGGTTCAGCTTGCGGTCATATGTTCCACTACGACGCTTACCTTGAGGCACTCGATCTACGCTCTTTCGCTCCCTGAAACGTTTGAGCACATCATACACGGTTGATTTGGCGATTTTCAACGTTTTTGCGATTTTTATTGCGGACCACGTTGGATTATCAACGTGGGTGTGCAGAGTTTTTTCTCTCCTCTCGGCTTCCATCTGGAAATTTTTTTGACTCACTGCACGAAACACCGTGAAATTTATACCACAGAAAGTGGGCGCCTAGGTAAACAAACCGCTGTAAAATAATTCTTGCAGCGGTCACTTTCCATGCCGCTGCAACACAATAAGTGATTCTGGATTCTAACTGGATAGAACTTTACTCGAGGTTAAGGACAACAATTTTTTAACAGGTTGGATGTGGACTTGAGATAAGGTACATTGGGATGAATTGTCGTTTTAACCTCCGTCGCCGTTGCATTGGAGTATGAACGTGGAAGAAATACTGCAGTGCGGACAAGTGACAAGAATCTCGAAAGGTGAATGGAAAAATGATGAGACAGCTGAAACGAAGCACATCAATCAAAAAAAAAAATAAAAAAGAAAACTGCTAAAGACTCTTAAATTCTCAAATCGGTCCGTTTTATAAAATTGGAAATCAATTTCATATATTCGAGATCGCGGCCAGAACGTCTCTAACGGGTGTAACAGGTTGCTTTCCTCGGGCCCTAAGGGATTCACGCAACTCAGATCTGGCAACACAGTATAAAGTACAAGATCAAACAACATTCTCGATGTCGTGGTAACCGTCACCACAGGCGCATAGATTGCTGTCTGAGAGCCCAATTAGATAGATATGTGAGTCTAATGCAAAGTGATTGAACATGAGCCTAGAGATGACGCGGATAAAGTCACGGTCCATGCCCAACCCTTTAAACCATGGTTTGTTCGACACCTGTGGAGAATAGAGTGTAGTCATCTTCCCAAATCACCATCATTCGACTTTTGTTGCCATTCATTGAAGGCGATTTGTCGCTCGAAAATGACGCCTTCTATAGCGCCCACCTTAGCCAACGAGTCCGCTTTCTCGTTACCCAGAATAGAGCAATGAGATGGGGCTCAAACCAAGGTAATAGTGTAAGAGCAATTAGATAAAGAACTCAGGGTAGATCATATTCGTATCGACGAGTGCTTCATCGGCCTCAATGAACGAATAGCTTCCAGTGAGCTTAGGCTGTTCGTTTAAATGGAGTAATGGTCAGGGGGAAGTGAGGCAATTTGCTCTAACGCTTATGACATAGCCGTTAGCTCCGCAACGTAAACTGAGCAGGGTTTCTGAAGTTTATAGGAGGCGCTATGCAATTCATTGAATACTCAAAACCAGTGGACGCATTTATGTAGGGTAGCCTTGATAGCTAGCAGTGTTGGAAAAGTTCGCGATATTTCATGAAGTGCACCAAGGGAAAAGTTCGTGAGTCATAGTGAGTTTTCGCGAACTTTTCCATCACTGATAGCTAGCCGCTTGCGGGGAGCCTTTCGTTGCGTACTGGAGAAAAATGTACAATAACGCCACGCGTCGAAAGCACTGCTGCTGCTGATAACGACTGGACATCACCACGCGATGATTGAATAAACACTGTTCGGCGAGACCGGATGAAATTCGATTTTGAAATCTGTGTTAGAGAAAGCGCTCTTCGCAGGCAATGGGTGATAATTTTAATTATCATAGCAACAGTTGAACATTCGGGAAATTTTCAATAGTGACCTTTTAAAATTGATAAAGTCTTAATTTTAACAGATTTGTGGAAAAATTTCGTATCGATTGACGTATTAAGAATCAAAATCCATCATCTCTGGATCAAAATCGGACCACCTTCATGCCGCGATCGACTTTGGTTTTTGGAATTACACTCCGAATGCTGCCTTAAAAATACATGGTATGTTAGATTTAAACTTATGGAAACTGACATTCGATTGATGACCTTGACAAATGTTCAGAAAATACTCTTTAACAAATTTATGGTGATTCTGAAAAGGACCGTTTTGTCGTGATATTTTTATTATTAGGGTGTTCAACACATATGAGGCTGGTGAGTTGCATGTTGTTTGGAACGAGGGTGACGCGCTCGTAATAGATGGCCCACAGCGACTCACGAAGAACTACTGAGTCCGATCAGTAGCGATGCGGCTTCTTCCTCCTTCTTCGGTGAATGGACACTCATGTGGGCTGCAACTCGCAGCTTGCGTGCAGCCTTTCGTTGTGTACTGGCGACCAATGTTCAACACCATGCGCTGAAAGCGCTGCTGTGCTGATGACGGCAGACGGCAGATTGAATAAACACCGTTCCGCGAGACCGGATGGAATTCGATTTTGAAATCTGTGTTAGGAAAAGCGCTTTTTGCAGGCAATCGGTGATAACTTTGATGACCATTGCCACAGTTGGATATTTCTATAATTTTCAATAGTAACCATCCGCTGATAACAGAGTTCTTCTTCTTCTTATTCGCATTTCAAGCTTATTGCTTAGTGCATATTAGCTTATTGCGTGCTCTTAACTTCATGTTATAAATGCACAGTTATTAATTGAGAGCTTTCGATGCCAATACCAATGCATGAATTTGTATATTGTGTGGCAAGCACAATGATACGTATTTTAAACCTACAATTTCTGTTATCATTCATGCGGAAATGTGTTCGGGAAAATGCAGCTTTTTTATGGTAACTATACCTAATCACCTATTCGCCAAATAGTAAAAAACGCTTGAATTGTTTTTCTTGCGGTCAATATGATTAGGGTAATTGTGTATTTATAATTTGAAAAATTATT